TTCCATCTCATTTCCCTTTGAGGTTGCTGTAGGTGATCTGGAACTCTGTTTTTGAGGATTTTTTTATGTGTTTTCTCATTTCCACGGGGGGGTGGGTGCTTCTGGTGCCCACACAGCTCCCCTTCTCTGCCCTAGGAGCTTGGGATGGCAGCGGGGGAGCTTCCTTCTGGGTTCTGGGACCGGCTCAGCTTCTCTGCCCTAGGAGCTTGGGATAGCAGTGGGGGAGCTTCCTTCCAGGTGCTGGGACTGGCTGAGATTCTCTGCCCTAGGAGCCTGGGATGGAGGCGGGGAGCTTCCTTCCGGGTGCTGGGACTGGCTCACCTTCTCTGCCCTGGGAGCCTGGGATAGAGGCGGGGAGTTTCTTTCTGGGTGCTGGGACCGGCTGAGCTTCTCTTCCTTAGGAGCCTGGGATGGAGGTGGGGAGCTTCCTTCCAGGTGCTGGGACCAGCTGAGCTTCTCTGCCCTAGGAGTCTGGGATGGAGGCAGGGAGCTTCCTTCTGGGTGCTGGGACTGGCTGAGCTTCTCTATATACTTTCTTTAATAGGTGCTATTCAAATTTTATACTTCCTCCAGAGTTAGTTTCATTAATTTGTCTTCCAAGATACTTCATAGAAGTTGTCAAATTTATTTCAAAAAAGATTTTTGTCATATACTTTCTATATCCTTTTAAATTCTGTAAAATCTGTGGTAATGTCTCCTAGATCTTGATATTGTAATTTTAAAAATGTATAATTGATATTGTGTAATAGGAAAAAAAGGTCTAAAGGAGCAGGGGAAGTGGGAGGGGTAGGGGAAAGGAAAGAAGGGAAAAGAAAAAAAATATGAGTAAAGGAAAAAATGGAAACAAAGTCTTTGCAAATAGGGAAGGGTGGAGGGGGTGAAGGGAGGGCAAGAGAAGTGGAAAAAAAGAAGAACCAATATACTCATGTAATGGTACAAGATCCCAATGATGAATATAATTGTATTTTATACCTAAAATGTACCAATAAACTTAATGGGGGGAAAAAAAGTAAGGCCAACTGAAGGTTCAGCTTTGGTTTCTCTTGTTAAAAGATTGAACACTCAGAAACAGCAGTATTAGTACAGTAAGCCCTGATTTATGAGCGAGTTCCATTCCAGGAGAATGTAAATCAGATTCATTCATAATCCGACAAAGTAAGTCTTATACAGTACACCTGTGAATCTTATACTAATCTAAGTATTACTATGAAGACGTTTTTTCAATGGGATTAAAGTACATAATCAATACTAATAAGTAACTTGTTATGGACTTTCAAAAGGAAAGAGATTTATCTTAAAGAATTGGCTGATATGACTGTCAAGACTGGCAAGTCCAATATCTTCAGTGTAGCCCAACAGGATGGAAGAGTTAATACTATAGCTCAAGCCTAAAGGCAGTTTGATGACAGAATCTCCTCCTTTTTAAGAGAAGTCTGTCTTTTTAGACTTTCAACTAATTGGATTAAGCCCTCTCACATGATGGAGGATAATCAGCTTTACTCAAAAGCCTACTCAAAGCCAACTGATTTTTTTTTTTTGTACCAGGGATCCAACTTGGGACCTTGTGCTTGCAAGGCAGGCACCGGAACCACTGAACTAATTCCCCAGCAAAGCCTACTGATTTAAATGTTAATTTAATCTAAGAAAAATCTAGAATAACATTTAACAAAATATAGGTAATGTGGACTAGCCAGAATGGCACGTAAAATTAATCAACTTTCAAGTTCTATGCTATTATTTAGTTTCCTAGGGCCTTTATCAATTTTCCTTTCCATGCGATACCATACTGGGCCATTGATGGTATTATGCTAAATGGACCTGGTGAGCAAAGAAGTATCTGTTACTCTGGTAAGATATTTGTGTGTCAGAAGGTGGGAAATCAGTTTGGCAAAAATTCTGGGACTTCAACCTCAGTGAAATTTCTATGGAGTTAGTAGTGTGGTGAATGTCAAGATATCCTTTCTAAAGTAAAGCATAAATTGTTGCATGTGGCCCCTCCTACAACTAAGAGAGAACTACAAGACCAAGGAACTTCCTTGGATTTTGGAGGCAACATATTCATTTAGGTGTGCTATTTTGGCTGATATATTTAATGAGCTGAAAAGCTCATAGTTTTGAATGAGGCCCAGATCAAAAAAGGCTTCTTCAACAGGTCCAGGATGCTGGGCAAGCTGCTCTGTCACTGAGTCCATATGATCCAGCAAATCTAATGGTGCTTGAAATAATGCTCTAGAGCCTTTGGAAAGCTCCTGTAAGTGAACTACCACATGGACCCTTCAGATTTGTAAGCAAAGTCTTGCTATATCCTCTGCACATTGCTCTCATTTTGAGGGGGAAAGAAACATTTGGCTTGCTGCTGGCTTTAGTGGAGACTAAATGCTTAATCATAGTCCATCAAGTTATGAGACTCATAAGTTGTCTGACACACAAGCCCATAAAGTTGGGTGCAAATAGCAGCACTTCATTATCAAATGGAAGTATTATATTGGAGATCTGGCTCAAGCAGGTCCCAAAAGCACAACTTCCAGGAGAAAATGGCTTAAATAAATGCAAATGGCCCCTACTCTTATTATATTACTTTCTCCCTCTCAGACCATTCCTTTGGTCTCATGGGGAGGCCAATTGACTTAGGAAGAGAAAACACAGGTCTGATTTACAGATAGCTCTGCACAAGATGCAAGCATCACCCAAATACAGACGACTACAGCACTCCAACTCTTTCTGGATATCTCCAAAGGACAATAGTGAAGTGAAATCAACCCAGTGGGCAGAATTTCATGTAGCACAACTGATTATTTGTTTATTTATTTATTTACTTACTTACTTGTTTATTTGAGACAAGGTCTCACTAAGTATTCCAGCCTGGCCTTGAACTCACTATGTAGCCCACTGCAATCCTCCTGCCTCAACCTACTGAGTGTTGTGATCACAGATGTGCACCACCACAACCAGCGAAGTAAAACTGATTGTTTTGCATGGAAGGAGAAAAGGCTAGAGGTCAGCCATTAATCTGTGCCTAATGGTTTGGCTGGATGATCAGAGGCTAGAGAGAATAATTATAAAATTTGTGATAAGGAAGTCTCAGGAAGTAGTGTGTGGATAGATCTGTCTGAACAGCCAAAAATGTGAAGATACTTGTTTCACATGGGAATACTCATCATAGGGTATTCCAGATTCCTGGTTTAAAAAGCAACTGTATGAAATAATATGTGCACAGTTGTACACATGTAACTGTATTGTTAAGCTTATAACCTATAGAAATGTACTAAATTAGTAACAAAACAAAGAAGATGACAGCAAAGTTGTATTGGAGTAAAGAAGGAATACCACATATTAATGTGAATCCTTAGGAATAAATAAAAAGGAAAAAATGGTAAATAAGTTTAACATAACAAACTTTACAAGAAATAAGTAAACTAATAAGGAAAGAAGACACTTTAATAGATACAAAAATATGTAAACTTTTCCAACATATAAAGATGTAATATGCATTATAATAATAGCACAAAATGGAGGAATAGGAAACAAAAAACATTACTATATTACATTAAAACATAGATGGAGTAGAGCATTGGGGGTACATGCCTATAATTCTAGCACTTTGGAGCCTGAGGCAGGAGACTGAGGCAGGAGGAATGTATGTTACAGATCAGCCTGGTTCTAGGAGTTGAGCCCAGCCCTTTGCAATGAGCTACCTGTACAGCCCTTTGAGACAGCGCCTTGCTAAGTCAATATTTTTCCAATAGATTGGAGAAAATAGAAGAATTGTATACATTTGTAGACACATATGATTTATCAAAATTGAAGCAAGAAGATATAAACTCCTGAAAGACCCATAACAGGAAATTAGAGGCAGTAATAAATGAGGCAGGCACCGTAATGCATGCCTGTAATTCCAGCAACTCAGCAAGTCAGGGGGATTGCAAGTTCTGGGATAACCTGGGTTGTTTGTTTGTTTGTTTGTTGTTTCAGATAGGGTCTCATTATGTAGTTCAGGCTGGCCTTGAACTCACTATGTAGCCCAGGCTGGCCTCAAACTCAAGGCGATCCTCCTGCCTCAGTCTCCAGAGTTCTGGGATTACAGATGTGCACCACTATGCCCGGTAGTAACATCTTTTGTCTTAAAAGAAAAACACAACAACATGTGTGCCATAGGTTTGCCACCACTGACCTAGGTGATGCCTAGAATACAAAAGAAACGATATTGATTGTACTTGTGTAGAGTACCTTTATGGCTAAAGGTCTGTTTATGTGGGAGACTTAATTTTTACCGTACATTTTTGGCAAATTTTTTTTTATTTTAAAAATGTATTTCTATTGGCTAAACCAAAAATTTTAACTTTTTAAAGAGACTACTATCAGCACACACACACACACACACACACACACACACACACACACACTCCAGATAGTTCTTCTACCCAATAGAAATAAAAGAATAATATGGTCAGTCCATGATACTGAACAAGAAGTAGATGAATGTCTACAATAAGGAATGGCTCAAAATAGTAACACAATACTAGAAATATTCTAAGCTTTGTAAAGAATGAATATTTATGTGCTAGCCTGGAAATCATTCATAATTAAGTGAAAAGGGAAAGTCTGTGAAATATGTTGCTATAAGGTCTCCTCCTGACCAATATGTGTACAGACTAAGCATAAAGGAACAACACACACACACACTGGTTATCTCAAGAATTTATGAGAGGGGAAGAGATCATTTTCATTTTACTTCTGCCATATTTTACTGGTCTTAGCAGAAATGTTATATAATTTTAGAAAATTCCTTTTTTTTTTTTTTTTTTGCACTGCTGGGGAATTGAACCCAGGACCTCATATGTGTTCAGCAAGTGCTCTGCCACAGAACTACAGCCCCAGCCAGCAGAAAATTCATTTCTAATAGTGGTTAATAAAGCAATAACTCAGAAGCAACACTTAAAACAGGACAAATTTTACTCTACTTTTTCATTTTCCCACTTGAAAAAGAACGTTTTCAAGAATTTTGTATCTATATCAATTTTAATAATACACAATGTTTTATCAACTTCTTCCTTGAAGAAAACAAAGCAAATCAATTATCTTCAAAAAGAATTTCATGATGCTAGGCTAGGATGTGGAAGAAGAGGAAACCTTACTGGTTTCTCATCAATATGAAGCGTCTGATGTAGACTAAGTTGTAAGCCATGATCGAAGGTCTTGACACATTCATAAGATTTCTTTTCAGAGTGCATTCTCTGATGATGTGAGAAGCTTGAATGATAGCTAAAGGCTTTTCCACATTCCCTACATTCATAAGGTTTCTCCCCAGTATGAATTCTTTTATGTTGAGTAAGGTGTGAATGAAGTCTAAATGCCTTACCACATATCGTGCAATCATGAGGTTTCTCACCAGTATGAATTTGCTGATGTCTTCTGAGGTGTGAACACTGTCTAAAAGTCTTCCCACATTCCTTACATTCATAAGGTTTCTCACCAGTGTGAATCCTCCGATGTAGGGTAAGTTGTAAGTCATCACAAAAGGCCTTCCCACAGTTATTACATTCATAAGGTTTCTTGCCAGAATGAATTTTCTGATGGTGAGAGAAGCTTGAGTGATAGCTAAAGGCCTTTCCACATTCCCTACATTCATAAGGCTTCTCACCAGTGTGAATTCTTTGATGTATGCTAAGGTGTGAGCGATGCCTGAAAGTCTTCCTACATTCTTTACATTCATAGGGTTTTTCACCAGTATGAAGTCGCAGATGTTCAGTAAGTTGAAAGCCACGAATAAAAGCTTTCCCACACTGCTTACATTCATAGGGTTTTTCTCCAGTATGAAGTCTCTGATGTTGAGTGAGTTGTGATCGCTGTCTAAAGGCCTTCCTACATTCCTTACATTCATAGGGTTTCTCACCAGTGTGAATTCTCTGGTGTAGAGTCAGTTCTGAGACATAATTAAAGGCCTTCCCACATTCTTTACATTCATAGCGTTTTTTGCCATTATGAATTCTCAAGTGTTGTTTAAGTTGTGAACACTGAATAAAGGCTTTCCAATATTCTTTACATTTATTACCGTTTTGAATTCTCTGTTGTTTAATAAGAAAAGGTGTATTAATTTCTGTGCATTTCATACATTTATAAAGTTCTTTAGAATGAGTTTTCTGATGGCTGAAAACTAAATGGTAACTAAAGTTTTCTCTACATTTTTTATATTCCAAGATTTTGTCTCTATTATAAAATTCTTGAGTGAGTAAAGTAGGTTGGGAAAACATGGGCATATTTTTATGGTTGATAATAAATTGCCTGCAATAGCCCTCCTGTTGTTGCTCAAAATGACATTTGCATTCCAAAACATCTTTGAAAATGGGTCTCTCAGCACTATGGCTTTTAAAGTGTTCCATGATAACCCATTGGGATGATTCTGTCCCATAAATGTCTCTTTTTGAATATAACTTCTTGGGCTCATCTCTGGATTCCAAGTCTGAAAGACAAGAAATATATTTTAATTCCTAGTTTTGTGTTACAAGAGAATTAAAATATTTATGGCAGAAATGAGAAATAACAGAACATAATTCACATAAAAAATATAAGACCTAGAGAGTTCTTAAACACTGTTATGTAATTGAAGGGGGAAAGGGTAAGGAGAACACAGCTAAAAGAGATTTTGAGAAAAAGAGTGAATTAATTAGGGAAATAAGTCAATTCAATGATGCTGAAATTTTGATCTGCTTCGGAATGACCTTGGACATTTGTTGTAAATATGTATGTTTAGGAAACATTCTAGACCAACCAAATCAAAATCTAAAAGAGCTGGTCTTAGAATGAGAACAACTGAATCAGAAACCACAAAAGTCTTCATGTTTAACATTCTCCCCCAGGCGAAAGAATTACATGATTTGATGAATCCATGGTTTTTAGTTGAGAATATAGCTGCATTATATACATTGTTCCCCTACAGCTGGTTATGCCATGTAGCTGGGTTCCACCGAAAGAAATACAGATGTATTACTTAGTAACTTCTGAGAACTTTACTTAAGATCTAAGTGGCCCAAGAACTAATCGCCTATTCTTCCTTTTTTGGGCAAAGGTGAAAGCAATAAGGATTTGTTGTCATGTCTGTCACATGATGATTTTGCACAACAGATACTCTTCTAGTCTAGATTTTAATGCAAAGAAAAATTAAACTTCTATGTAGTTTTAACAATATTATTTTGAGTCTCTGTCACATGCAACTTAAGCTGTATCTATACTGGTACAGCTTTTCTCAGTGAACAGAAAATTTAAAAATCCAACTCCTTACTTTGAGTATGTAAGGCCTCTGATTGCCACTAAGGCTTTGTTTTAAGTCCTTTCATCATGCTATAATCATACCAACCTCCTTTCAACCAGAACAGACCAAAGCATTTCTCATCTGAGAGTTTCACAGTATGTTCCATCTGTGCCAGAAATCTGTCAACTAGTCTCAGATTACAAGTCACTTCTTCAAAATTATATTCCAGATAACATTATCTAATTAAGTCCATGCCTTAAATAGTATTGTATTTATAGATTGACTGATTGATGAATGGATGGATTGATTGACTGTGGTACTGGAGACTGAACCCAGGCCATTCACAATGAGCTATATCCCATGTGTCTTGAACATGAGCTGAGATTAATAATATCAACAAGAATGAAAATGGGGAAATAGGATTTAGAGGAAGGGAGGTGGGCAGGTAGGGGAAGGGGATTTTTAAAAAATGAAACTAACTATACTATGTACATATACCTAATCCTCAAGATGAATTTAAGCTTCATGTACTACAAACTAAAAAAAAAGTTTAAATATCACATGGTTTCTCTTATATGAGAAACTTGGAGTAAAAATAAAGAGCAAAACAAAAGACAATAGGATGCAGGGAAATAAATTGTTCTCAAAGGGAAAGGAGTCAAGAGATGGAGGGAGTAGGGAGGGAGACAAGTGATAGGGAAGGGGAAAAAAGGGATTGGGATGTGTTACGTACATGTACCAACTCTACACAAGGGTGGTAAACATGTTCTGCAAATGTACAAAAAAAAAAGGAAGGGGAACAAGAGTGGAGGGAGGAAGGGAAGGGAAAGGGGATGAAAAAAGGAATTAAGATGTGTTATGTGCATGTACCAACTTCCCACAAAGAATGTAAATTATATACTACACACATGTACTAATAAACTGAAAATTTTTTAAAGAAAATTACATACAATAGCTGAGAGATTTGTATAAATAAAATTTATAGGATACTGGTTTAGACTAAGCTCCTGCACTCAGCCTAAAAGGCCAAACCAAAATGGAATCACTTGTGCTGAAGTTCCATGCCATAAATATGTTATTTGGCCTGAGAAATCAAGACAGAAATAGCCAAATCTTCAAACAAGCCAGTTTAACTGGCATAAGGAATTCCCCTCTGCTTTTTTGTTGTTGTTGTTGTTGGTACGAGGATTAAACTCAGGTCCTTGAGCTAGTGAGGCAAGCAGTGGAACCACTGAGCTAAATCCCTGGCCCCCCTCTCTGTTTTAATTCTTACAAAAAAGTAACTGGAAGAAACTTGGTGTTAACCAATCAGGTTTTTCCTATTCTCTTTACTTGTTCCCACGTTACAAAGCTCACTGGTCTGCTATTACCTGGTGAGAGCTCATTCTATTTTACAGAATGGAAGCTACTCTAATAGATTGATTGATTGATTGATTGATTGATTGATTGATTGATTTTTGGTACCGGGGATCAATCTAATAGATTTTAAAATCCAGTAAGACCTATAACTAAATTTGTTGTAATTTTGTCTTTTGACACATAGATATTTGATATTTACAAATGCTCGCTGGATGAGAAGCCAGTAAAGGAAATCACAGAAGTACAATTTTCAAATAAATAATAAACTAAAACTATACCTTAAGCTGCAAACAGGAAAACTGAATTGTAATTTTATATTAACAAATAAAACAAATTCATCCACATTGCTGGACTTGGTGTTTGTTTATATTTGGCTAGTAAAACTACCAATTAATCCTAAAGATGATTCTCTTTTATGCTAATATTTGGTAACAAACATTATCCATGGTGCCAAAATATTCAAATAAAAGAACTTTTTTTTTGAGACATGGTCTTAACCAGGCTGGCCTTGAACTCCTGGACTCAAATGATTCTCCTGCCTTACCTCCCAAATAGCTTGCCCTAAAGGTGTACACTACCACCCCCAACTTTAAATAACTTGTTTGGCGGTACTGGGAATTAAACCCAAGGCCTTTACACTCAGCTACATCTCTATTCTTTCTTTCTTTTCTTTCTTTTTCTTTCTTTTTTTTTTTTGGTATTGGGGATCAAACTCAGAACCTTGCGCTTCCAAAGCAGGTGCTGGAACCACTGAGCTAAATCCCCAGCCCTCTTTTTTTTTTTTTTTTTTTTGTGATACCAGGGATCGAACTCAGGACCTTGTGCTTGCCAGGCAGGCATGGTACTACTGAGCTACAGCCCTGGTCCCTATTCCTGTACCTTTTGAGACAGAGTCTTACTAATTTGCTAATTTGCCCAGGCTGGGCTTAAACTTGTGACCCAGCCTCCAAAAGTCCTGGGATTACAGAAATGTGCCATCATGCCTGGCTTAAATAACTTTAGAAAATCATGTTAATATTTTCTACAAAAAGCTATGAGTAGAACTTCTGGTGCCTTAGCTTTAATGAAAGTAGTGGTACCAAATTGTGCAATGTCATTGTTCTCTTCATTGCCATGACCAATGTACCAGAATTCATTTATGAATGCCCATGTGGTAGGAAATAATAATTTTATATCTCAGCCCTTCAGCATACAACTGTTTGTTTGTTTGTTTGTTTGTTTGAGACAGGGTCTAGCTATGTAGTTCAAGCTGATCTCGAACTTACTATGTAGCTCAGGCTAGCCTGGAACTCACAGTGATCCTCCTGCCTCTGGCTCCTCTCAAATGCTGGGTTACAGGTGTGTGCCACCACACCTCAGTATGAAACTTTTTAATATTCTATATGATAAGACAAGGATTCTGCTATATACTAAAATAAATTAGTTTTTTCAAGGAAAATGGTACACTGGATTATTTTACTTGCAAGTTGAACTAGTCCCCTTTTTGTTAGTGGAATTCAATTTTTCCTTGAAAGATCAACAAATGGATAAGCTGTGATGATTTAGACTTGGCAGATTTTTAGTAAACTAAAAAATTAGCTTCTCTAAGAAAATGATTTATTTGCCAATGATACAATTCTAAATGTAAAGTTAAAAACTAGACTTTTGGAAAATTTGTATTAGCTGTTGTGATCCTGAGAGCTTCCCAATATGTACAGACTTTTTGGAGATCTGTGGTAATATTAACAAATATTATTTTTTGGTTATTGTATGAGAAAATGTATCAGAGTTTAAAAGATATGCATAAATAATTAAAGCAATATTTTCCAAATGACTAATGCATGATGTTAAAAATAGGTACCACACATAAGAAATCTATTCAAAGAATGAGACAGACCAGTAGATTTTAATTTAACAGAGTATATGCAGATGTAGACATGAGAGCCCAGCTATCTTTTTTAGTCTAAGCATTAAGGAAACATGCAAAACTGCAAATAAAGCCCTGTTACTTTTCTCACTATATATTTTGTCTTGTTAGGGCCTGTGATTTAGCTCAGTGGTTCTGCCACCTGCCTCACAAGTGGAAGGACCCGAGTTTGATCCCCAGTACCAAAAAAAAAACCAAACAAACTGATATTTTGTCTTGTTAAATATAATAATGATAAACTATGTTAACATGTTGTTTATCCTTTTAAAATGAATTGAATAAATATTTCCTTTTGCCTTGTTTTTATTTCTAAAACAGTAAATATTGAAACTATAGGGGCTGGGGATTTAGCTCAGTGGTTCTGCCACCTGCCTTGAAAGCACAAAGACCCAAGTTCGATCCCTGGTACCAAAAAAATAAAAAGAAAAAGAGAAAGAAAGAAAAATATATATATATATCAAGTGTTGATGAGGAGACTATATATGTAATTGGAACTCTCTTACAGTCTAATAGAATCTTTTTCTATTTTTTATTTTTTTGGTACCAGGGATTGAACTCGGGACCTTGCACTTGTGAGGCAGGCGGCAGTGGCACTGAGCTAAATCTCGGGCTCTAGTCTAATAGAATCTTAAATTAGAAAACTGTTGGATAATATCAACTAAAGCTAAAGACATATGTGAGATATATTTAGAGTCCAGCAAAAAAATGTATACACACTTCAGGAAAAGAAAAATAATATTATTTTTTTCAACAGATGGTATTACCCTCATTTGGGAACCCTAGAAGATGCCGTAATCACAGAAAACCCACTACACTGCCAGCCCTTAGAGAAGAAATTGAAAATGCATGTGCAGCAATGTCAATGACCAAGGTTACCCAAGCAGCAATTTGCTGTACTAATAAATATTTAAAAGCTCATGGTCACCACTTTGAGCACCTCTTGTAA